CGGCTGTCCCGGCCGGTGGCAGGCACCGAATCCGCAGAGAGGCAGGCAGCAATCCTGCAAAACCTCTGCCGGGGTCCGAGACCGGTCCCCGGCACCGTCGTGGAGCAGAGCTGCTGGCGATCGGCGTGGTTCGGTTTTGGCTTCAGTATTTTCAGCCTGTCCGTTTTATCTCCCCTCCCTCCCGCCTTGCCCCGGCAGAGCGGGCGTGCTGGGGTGGGAATGGTGCTGGTGGTCCAACGATGCCCATCAGCTGCCACCGCGGCCCCCCGAGCTCTGCCCGGCATCGTCCCCTCCACGTGCCGAGGAGGCTGGGGGGCGAGTGGGGAGGTCTGGGACAGGATCCCCGCTGCCCTCGCTCCCCCAGAGGACACAGATATCGTGTTTAATCCTTGGCACTTGCCACTCGGTCACACCTCGATGCCCGGCTGCTGCGGCCGAGCCAGGGAGGATGGCATCACGAGGAGGATTTAAGTGGGCAGCAAGGAAACGCGTAGGGAAAAGCGCCCGGAGAGGAGAAAACCCCTGATCCAGGAATGACCGTCTCGTCTGGATGGAGCTGTAGCTGAGGGCAGGCGTTTCAGGATGGGTTCTGGGATCTGTGTGAGCAAAAGGGCGGGCGAGAGAGCCGAGGGGCAAGGAGCAGCCCCGGTCACGCGGGGACAGCCCGGGGTGAGAGGGATCAATCTCAGCGCGGACGGTCCCTCCTCCCGCCAAGTTCAGCTGGATTCATCGGCCAGCCGAGCCCAATTATCTTAATTTGTGGCATTAAGGAAAAATCCATAAGCATCAGGGAAGTGATGTGTAGCGGTTTAACGGGACTGGTTGGCGCTGGAGCTGCCGGCGCTGCCCGTCCCTGGCTCCGTGTCCGTGCCGGAGCGTGGCTGGTGGCACAGGAGGCAACCCTGGAGCCACGGAGACTTCCCAGAATATTTTGTTTTTGGGGGGGAAAGAATGATTTCTGCCTGCCCAGCCTGGAAGAGGCCAGACCTCGGTCTCTCCCCGGTGTCGCCCACGATGCGGCTGGGGCTGCGAGGGGCCGGCTGCACCGAGCGCGGCACAGAAATCCTGGCCGGGGATGGGGTGCAGA